GGGGCTGCTCCCCTTACAGGAGAGTGGGGGAGCTGCTTGGGGCTGAAGGGTTTCCAGCCGCCTGGAAGGGGCAGGAACGGCTGCCCGGGCTGGAGCGGGGAATCGTTACTGGCAGTTGAAATGCTGTAAATCGATCGTACAAAGTGCGCTGGTAAAAAAGTCCAGGTCTTCCTCGGAGAAGGGCACGGGGCTCTCCAGGGCTCCGTGAAGGCCGGGGGAAAGCCCCTCGGCGAGCTGGAGGCAAGACTCTGCTGAGAGGATGCTCAACTCTGGCAGCAAAGGCGAGCCCTGGCTCCCGGGGGGACCACGGGCCGCGGGGCCGGCGCTACCGGCCCCTCCTGCCAACAGCGGCGGGCTCCCGGGCTCTGCCAGCCCCGGCCTGGTGCTGCCGGGGGGCACCGGGGTCGCGGGGCTCCCCCCTGGTTCCTCCGCGGGGTCGCTGCCCTCGTCCGCTGCGGGGTAGGTGAGCTCCGCGTCGGGGTTTTCCTTGTACTGGGTCTGCCTCTTGTGCTTCATGCGGCGGTTCTGGAACCAGACCTTGACTTGCCGCTCGGTGAGGTCGAGCAGAGCCGCGATCTCCACCCGCCGGGGCCTGCAGAGGTATTTGTTGAAGTGAAATTCCTTCTCCAGCTCCAGCAGCTGCGTGTTGGTGTACGCGGTCCGGAGCCTCCGGGCGCCGCCGGGCTCTGCCGGCCCCTGGGTGTCTTAAACACACAGAAAACCGCAGGCTGCGAGGGGGGAGCGGGGCAGGGGAGGGCTGGGGCCGCCCCCCCCTTAGGGCAGGCAGGGCCGAGCCCTTCTCTAATAAGCGGGGAGGGGGGGGGGGAAGAAATGTGGAATTAAACTCTTCCCACTGTCGGAGAGGATTGGAAAGAGCTCTCCGGTCCCCTTGTCCCAAGGAAAAGAAAGGATTTTTCTCCCTGGCCTCTCCCTTTAGAGACCTTCCGTCGCTGCCGCCTTGGCGGATAATGGGAATTGCCACTCACTACTTCCCTTGATTCTTTATTTTTATCTTCCCCATCCCTTTCGCTAGCAGAGGACGTTGCGGAGCTGTGATTTTGTTATTCCTGTGTTACCGGTCAGCCGGTACCCACCCTTCTCCTACCCGGCCGGTGCTACCGAGCCCCTGAGGCGGCCGCCCGGGGGGAAGAGGGTCCCTGTCTGGAGCTGCCTGACCAAGGGGTGCCCTGCGAGGAAGCTGCGGCTTTGCCGGTTGCCTGGGGAAGGATTTGGGGTGTATTTAGTTTACTCCCCAATGGGAGCTGCCTCTCCCCACCGTACCGGAGCCTCCCGCTCTTCCCTCCTCCCCATTCTGCTGATGCAGCCTTGCCCGTTCTGTTCCTCCCCCCCCTTCCCCCCCCCCCCCAATCCGCTCTTTATTCTGGTTTTTGTTGTTGGTTTGTGTTTGTGGGTGTTTTTCTTTCCCGTAGGCTGTAAAAGAATTCAGGGCTGGGAGGGAAAGAGAAGCAAAGTGGACGCGGCAGCTCCCCCTCACCCCCTCATTATACGAACCTGCAGGAGATCCTGCGGCAGGGACCGGCACAGAGGATGATGATGATGAGGGGGAAGAAGAGGAAGAAGAGGATGGAGCCTGGGTAGCTTTCTTGGAGGATTTCTTCTCCTTCATCCAGGGGAATTCGGCTGCCAAGGGGCCGGGCGGTGCCGGAGGCTGAGGCTGGAGCTGAAGCAGGCCATGAGATGTTCTTTTTTGGCTCCTCGGTCTTGCTTGGCTGCTGGAACAAGGATTCAGGCTGAGGACGGTTTGCTCAAAAGGAGGAGGAATTAATGTCGAGTCCTTGATTGATGAAGTTTGAAATGTCTCCAGGACAGCGGGAAGAGACGTCAGGCACTCTGCGAGCGAAGGCTGGCTATTTATAAACCCGATCTCCCTCTCAAATTCAAAATTCATGGCTTTCCCAGGGCCCAGGGTTTAAAAAGCGGGAGGGGGGGAGAGGGAGGAGGAGGGGAAGAAGGAAAGAAATCGGAGGGCCTTAGTTTTGATGGCAGTGATGATGATGGTTCTCGGGCTTTTTATAATTGTTATATTGCTGATAATACAGGCGTATGGGGACCTTGCTCTATTAAACTCGAGACTGGGGCGAAATTGCAGCCAATTCCTGGTCACGTGGCCAGCCCTGGCCAATGGCAGGCGGGGCCTGGTGGCAAACAGAAAGCATTATTTTCTTTAATTGATTAAAAAAAGGGGGGGGGGGGAAGGCGAGAGAAGATCCCCAGAAAAACCTCTACCCCCTGCCCCAGCCACCGCCATCGCTCCTGCCTGTGCTGCCTGCCCTGCCTGTACCGGGCAGCTCCAGCTGCCCTCGCTGGTCTCCCCACAGTTCACACCCCCGGGAGGTGCCCGGTGCCCCACTCAGTGCCCGCCCATAGGCAGGGATGAGCAGGCTGCCCATCACAGATGTATCTGTATCTGTATACATTCATCTACCTAGCTAGCTACCTGCCTTTATACTTCTATATCTCTGTACCACTGTACTGCTGTATATCTGTATCTCTGTATCTCTATCTCTCTAACTCTGTATCTCTGTATCTCTATACCTCTGTATCTCTGCATATCACAGAGCTTGGAGAGCTGAAGCCTACATTTCTGCGAGTCTGTACGTGAGCACTTCAGAAATGGAGCTTTCAAGTCAAGTCTAGTTAGACCGGCCTGATTTCTCGAGTTAAATCACTTATAAAGAAAAGCCCGAACCTTCTGCTTCTAAAGGCAGACTTAATGGACCCTTTGCACTTGCCTTAAAGGCCAAGCATATTTTAAGGGCATAGATATCTTTAAAATCACATTTCTTCCTTCCCATCTTTTTGTTTTGTTTTTCCTTTTTTCCTCACTTCCACTTCCAGAGTTTACAAAATAAAGAAATAAAACGAAAAGTCGTTTCCCAGGAAGACTTTTCCCCCCTTTTCAAGTGCCGGCTCCACACAAACCCAAAAGAAGAGAGAAACGATCAATCTTTTCTTCTCGAAAGACTTTTGACAGCTTGGCCTGACTGACTCAGCAAAGAGATTGGGCTTTTGCTGAGGGCTTATTTAAACCAAGAAAGATGGCAAAATTTAACTCAATGGGTTGAATTTAGGAAGTTTATAAAGTAAAAATTGTGGAGGGAAGGGGGATAAGCCGCTGGGGCTCGGGTTTTCCAGCCCTGTTTCTCCCGCAGCCCCCACTCACGCAGGGAGAAGCCTGGAAACTTTTGTCAGCTGAAGCATCCGTGTGGGTGGTGAAGGCTACTGAGAGACACACAATAAATCCAAAGCTGGAGCGGGGCTGAAGCGCAGCTTAGCAAAAGGAGGGGGAATCGCATAAAAAAGCATTTACAAACCGCAGCTCAATTAAAGGCAGAATTTCCCTACATTTCTATGAAAGCGGTTATTGAAACAGGCATCAACATGCTCAGCCCCGGCCCCGTTTACTGATGGGAAAGCGAATAGTTGCGTCTCCGATCAGCTTCTTGCTCGGGTGGCTTAAAGCGGCGGTTTGGGAGGGTCGGCTTTGCCCTGAGACTGATGGTTCCCCGCTTTTGGGGGGACAACGGGCAGCTGAGGTGCGGTTTGGGGTGCTGAAAGGAGCCCGCCACTCCCAACTGTTCCCTCTGCTTTGGCTGACGGTAAAATGCAAGGAAAAAAAGAAAAGAAGGAAAGAAAAAAAGAAGCCTCTTGGGTAAAGAGGGATTTTTCCCACGCACCACGCGGAGGCACAAAACAAAACTCCCTGCTCCAGGGGAAATCGGAACAAATGCGCAGGGTTAGCGAAGGACAGAGAAAGGCGGTAACTGGAACTGAGGCTGGCTGCTGCTTCCCGATTTTAGCTAATTCCTGGGAATCCCAGCAACATGGCGACGGGGATGAGAGGCAAGAAAATACATTCAGAGAGAGGGAGGTGGGGGGAAAGCCACGTTCAAACTCGAGCCTAAACCAGGCCCTTGTCCTGTGAGCTGAGCCCGAGATGAACCCCCACGGGTTCCTGCTCCTAGCTGCCGGTGTCCCCGACCAGGGACCGTCCCTATATGAATGGGCACAGCCCGGGAGGGAAAGGAGCCCTGTCCCCTTTATTATAATCATTATCCTGGAACTTCTTTTATTAAGACATGGAAAGAAGTGCAGGATCATTTCTCAGTTCCTCACTAGACCTGTCTACGGGCTGGCCCTGGCTATGCACACAGTGTGTAGAGCACACACAAGCATCCTTCTTGTTCTACAGTCCCGATCTTTTTATCGGTACCTTTTCCAGCCTTTTTGTTTTCCTGGCAGCAACCCACATCCCCCTCTGCTTCCCTCTGGGGAACCCTCCCCTCATCCTAGTCCTCAGCGAGCAGTTCACCCCTTCCAGAACCATCATAAAACTTTTATTGCCCCTCACTCTTTTAATATAAGTTTTCTTGGGGCTTTAGAGCATAAAAGGCAAATTATTCACGGTATTATCCCATCTGCTTCTGCTGCTGGTGGAGGGGCTTCTTCCCTTTTGCTCCCGCTGATAATGTAACATTTGGTAGCGGGCTTTTTTTCTCCCTTTTAATAGCAATTGCAAAGGCGTGTGTTAGTACAGGGGGGTGGAGGGGCTGTTGGTGTGCATGCGTGTGTACATATGTGTGCATGTGTCTACACACGTGTGCGCATATGTGCGTGTATTTCAATAGCGCTGAATTATAACCGGGAATGGGATTTCAAGGGCCCCACATGGGAACTCTGCGCCCTTTATCTTGCTTTTTCTGTCATTAATCCTTTTTCCTTTGTTTTCATTTGCGGCCCAATGGCAGCCCGGCCCCGGCGCCACGTGATCCTCTTTGTGGCCGCGGGAGCGGGCCGGGCCGCGGAGGGACCGCGCAGGAACAGCGCAAGGGCCACACTTAACTCAGATCCTCCGGTTCTCAGCCCAGGAGGGGACACAGACCCAGAACCGCTGCCCAGACCCCATCCTTGCCTTCTCCTCGCTGTTTTCACATCCATGTGGTTCCTTTTCTCTTTTAAATCCCATCGAGAGGACGAGATAAAATGGATAACAGAAAGTTTATTCAAGAATTGTTCAACAGACAACCCTTATCAAGGAAACAAAATAACTACTATAAGAACAAAGAAAGAGCTCGGAAGAGGCGGGGTGAGGTGGGAGGGAGGGAAGGATTAGCTATAGTTCTAATTCAGGACTATACAATTACAGGCTGGTTCTGCTCTCATGCCTCCAGTAGAACTAATTACATTTTTCATAAGTACGAAGGTAACATAAAACTACTGGTCTTCCTAAATTACAATAACTAAAATAAGCTTGTTGTACAATGACAAGGAAACACAATGTCCTTTAGAACAAGTAAATACTAAAAAAGTACAATTTGATTCCTTCTTTTTTTTTTGTTTTTTTTTTTGTTTGTTTGTTTTTTCCTCATATAAATACATAATATTGGGGATAAATAATACAAAAAAAAAGGAAAATATTTTAAACTGGCTATAACCAATAAATATATATGAATGTTCACCAGAACACACACCTATTGAAGGGCATCTCATCTGAGTTGGACAAAAGCCCTTCAAAGCTGTTTTTATACCCATTATATGTAAACTCTAAGTGCAACAAAGATGTCCAGACAAGAAAGCATTAGCAAATACTAGAGATCCATTCACTTCTGCTTCGATGGGAGGACATTCCATTTGTTCAAATATACCCTGTTTTCACGTAAGGTCAAGAGAAGAGGAGGAAAGAAGTGTAGGACTTCTGAGTCTTAAGATTGCTTTTCTGTTAAGGAACCCTAAGAAAAATACTCCCAAACAAAAACAAACCCAACACTGTTGAATGGAGACTTCATGTCATCAGAGGCAAAGGTGGGAAAATATTCAGACCTGTCAACTCTTTCTTCCTCTCTTTGGACTGCTGTTATTGTTGGGGGGTTGAGGCATTTCAAAACCCATATTTCCCAAACCTTTTGCAATACTTAGACCTCTCTTATTCTAGTTTGATGATGATTATTGTTATTACTGAGAGGGGAGGCAGGGGCTGGAGGGGAAGAGCATGAATCCCAGGCGTTGGCAGGTTTGTATATTTGCAGTTTATGTGGTGACTGGTGGGAAGTTACTCAGTGCACTTCCTCATAAGGCTGGGAAGGAAAAGCACGAGGTTCCTCTTGAGGAGTCAAGAAGAGGGTAGTTTTCTTGTGAATCTCTCTTGATTGCATATCTGTACACTTGTGCATGTTGATGTAGATGCAGAGACATCAACTGTAAAGACCTGACTCCTGACCATTCTCCTTCCCAATGTCCAAAAATTATCAATGACGATCTATGCTTGGATTGGAAATGAAGGATATTACTGCTTGAAATTGGCTAGATTCCCATAAAACTACCTCAGATCCACTTCAGAAACATTTGTGCTGAAACACAGGAGGTATACCTCTTCAGAGAGAGAGCTACTGAAATGCTTGGAAATTGTGCCTAATAAACCCAGCAATAACAATAGCAAGCACAACAAGCTAGTAGAAATTGCCCTGTCAAAGAAAGAAAGAAAACAGCTCAACGCAAATGTTCCTGAAGCTGATCCTGCCCTCTTCCCCTCTCCCATGCCCCATGGTGGGGTCCCATCCACTTTGCCTGAGCCTGCCCCTGCTCCCTATCACAGGTGGGTCAACTTGGGTGCCTCTTGGATTCTGCCCTGAGAAGAAGCGTGGTGCGTGGAAAGGTCTGTGTAGGTGGGGTGGGTCTCACATGGTCCGTGGTGTTGGCTCGGGGGCATCTGGGGAGGCCCATTGTAGTCCATGTTGGTGGCCTGGTGATGTGGCAGGTGATTGAGGCCATAAAGGGATGGGCCAGAGGTGGGCATAGAATCCACATAGTTACCTCCAACATAGACGGGGCTTCCCTGCATATTGGGTGTCCCGTAGGCCACCCCGTTCCCTTGTAAGACATGGGGGTCGTACTCGGGGGCCGTATTGGCGTATTTCTGTTGGGAGGGGCAGCCTTTGATGGGGTTTTGGTAGTTAGTTGACATGGCATAGGCATTTTGGTGGGGTTTATTGAAGGAAGGTGGAGAGGGGGCATCATAGTTACTGCTCATGGTGTGCAAGGCATTCATAAATCCAGCAGAGGATTGCATGGGCTGGGGTGGGCTGCCAGTGGGTGAAGGCCCTCCAGAAGAAGACCCCATGCCTTTTGACTTCTGATCTTTCTTATACTTCATCCTTCTGTTCTGGAACCAGATCTTGATCTGCCTCTCACTGAGGTTCAGCAGGTTGGCCATCTCCACGCGGCGGGGCCTGCACAGGTAGCGGTTGAAGTGGAATTCCTTCTCCAGCTCCACCAGCTGAGCACTGGTGTAGGCTGTACGGGCTCTCTTGGAGGCCGAGGAGCCTGGAGGGCTTTTCTCGCCGCTGCAGGTTTCTGCTGGCCGCAAAATGAAATCAAAGATAATTACTTACATGCAGCAATTGAATGCATCGTTTCTTAATAAATCCTGGAACAGGCACAAGAGTTCAACCCCCCCCCCTTCCATCACCCTTTCGCATTAGCCTGCACTCCATAATCATGTCATTTATTAAGAGTTCTGTTCTCCAAAGCTGCCCCTGGTTTATGAAAATTTGATCATGTCATGGAGAAAAGGATTCCAGGGCCATTTATTTACGAGTCGATTATTTCCAACAAATAATTTGGAGAAAATAATATTTGGCAGGGGGGCAGTGACTGCAAAGCCCATTAACACTAACACAGGGCAGTGTGGGGAGGAATTGTGTTTGCTGAGGTGCAAATGCACACGCACACATCTTATGTATGTCTTGCACTTGAGTAACCCAAATATTGGCATGTATGCCCTTCAAAGATGGCATTTGTACCTACCTTTCTGTGAGATAAACATGTATAGACCACATAAATTATACTCATATAGAGTGAAGTGTGTGCAGCAATGCTGAGATGAACTTATTGCTCAAAACAGTGAGATTTCTCTACTGATTGTTCTCTCTCTCATGTTAGAGATGCACATGAATGCATGAAAAATACACACGTTTGTGCTCACGGCCTATACACACACACACATACACTGAGAGCACCATGTTTACTGCTGTGTCTGGGGTCAGGGAGGTGGGAAGAGAACAAGTACTCTGCTTTAGCACCACTGGGCCGAGCAGTGGGTGGACATTTCCATGTATCTGTACACAGTCAGACATTGGCTGTGTACAACCACCTGGTTGTATCTCCCTGCAGTGCTCTGGATGTCTTGAAAATGAACCAAGTGTGCACAGTCAGTGCTGCAGGACAAGCCAAGGCTCTCTTGGCCTTTCCAGGGCATGTGGCTGGCAGTTTTGGGATCATGCCCCACAACAGGATCCTCACTGGATCCTTGCTGGATCCTCTCCCCTCCCTCCAAACCAGACCACTGCACCCAGTGGCTGTGTTCCCTCGCTGTTTAGGAAAGCAGAGCCGTATACCTGTGCTAGGGGAGCTGGTTTTCTGTTTGGAGTTTTGCCTGGATTCTTTCATCCAGGGGAAAATCTGCTTGGTGAGACTGGCATTTGCACTGAGGTTGGCTTTGCTGGGGGCACTTTTACTGCTCCCCGCCTGGTTATTGCTGTTGTTACTGGTGCTGTTGGTGGCAGGGTTTGGGGGCGGCGAGATGGGGGGAGGCGGGTGGTGCTCCTGGGGCAAACTTGGACGCATGCAGCTTCCATTCAGGTCTTTACTTTTTGCATGCGGGGTTGTGTTGCCAAGAGACTGGAGGGAGCAGGCGGACCTCTGGTAGTCGTTCTCCACGTGAGAGGCCGGCTGGAAGGACTGCTGGGCACCCTCGTAGCTGAATCCATTGGCATTCCCATAGGAGTAACCCCCAAAGATTGTGGAGCTGTCGTAGTACGTTGTCTTCTGCATCTCTGGGACTCCCCAAAATGATTTTTCCAGCTACCAGGGTCTTGACACCCCTATGGCAGAACATTGGCACCCCAAGGCCACGTGACAGGCTGTTTCCAGCTGTCTATTGGAAGCTGACCTGAAAGGTTAGGAGAAAACACACAATAATAGTACCCAGCCTATGAATCCATCTTGGAGCCTGAAAGGCCCATGACATGAATAGGGTCCCGCCGAACAGGCCGAACAGATGCTTTGAGCAGATTTTGTCCTGTGCACAGCCTAAGGAGGCTCAACAAATGTTACTGCGCAAAAGTGCTGAGCTCATTTTGGGGGGTAGTTTTCCTACTTGGTTGGTTCCTTGCTTGCACCCTTTTTTCCCTGGAAAATAGCCCCCAGGATGTGTAACTACACACATGCTCTACGAGTACACGTGGTTTCCGCTGTATAAATCTATTTACTTCTCTATTTCTCTATATACATATATACACACACACCATGCTTACATGTGCACTCCCATCTAAATATGTGTGTGTGTATGCATGTAGTATCATGTGCACATGCACACATCCATATTTAGAGAGCACCCACATTAATGTAAATCTGAGAGTACAGAATGGATAATTGCTGGCTCCAAGCATGAAAGGAATGAAGTCTTGCTTTCTTACCCCTGACCTATTCTAATCAGCCATTCACACACAGAAAAAACAGCCAGGCCTTATAGCATCAGAAATTAAAAGTCTGCCAAGTTGATTACAAGGCCTCAAACTGAAACCAGCAAATAGTCTGGTTTAAACTGAAACCAGTTTTAAACTGAAACTAGCAAATAGTCACTATGTTTTCTGCAGGTAATGGGTGTCCTAACACAGTTGGCTTCATTTGCTGTTTACACAGGGACTCACAAATGTCTTTGGAATTCAGTGCAAATATTTCAAGCAGATTTAAGCGGGGGCATGAATTCAAGAATGTGCCTCCTTTGGCCTGTTTGATAGCCTCCCCCTCTCTGGCAGCACAGCACAGGTTGTATTTAGAAAACACAGCCCTTCAGCGCCTGCTCTGCTTTGTGCTTGTCGGTCCTAACCTGGAGCTGCCGCTGGTAAGATGTGACTCCAAAACCAGTTTAATTGCTGTTGGATTTGGGGTTTTTCCTTTTTCTTTTCCCTTGGAAAACAAACCCATCACCAGGCCATTTGCTCCTAACTTTCCTCCCTTTGATTTTGTATTGTTCCTCCCTCCCTCTGTCTAAGCTCAAAAGTCTAAAAAACCCCAGTCCAAAGCCTCAAATTACAAAATGAAACCTTCCTCTTTGATTCCTCTCCCTTTTCATTTTTCTTGATCTTTTCCTCTGTCTTTTCTCAAAGCATAAACTTTACTTGACCATAAGGACAGAGTAGAAATACCCTTGGAAATATGAAAACTATCTTGCCCTGGAAACAAGCCGATGTGTGAGACTCAGTCAGCAGCTCACATATTTTACAAAGGCAGAGGCTTCTCTCCGCAGCTCGGAGCTGCGAGGAACCCCGTGCATTCTGTTTGGAAATTGATACCCACTGTATATTTAATTCTATCTCTTGTATATTTAATTTTATCTGGGCTCTTTCATTCTCTAAAATAAAATAAAATAAACTCAGTGGAGATAAACCCTGATGAGATATTTCTAAGTACCGGGGTTTAACAGAAGCCACAGCTCGACAATAAATAACATCTTTTTTTCCCCTTCCCTGACTGCTCTGCTCTTCTGTCATGTCATACGAAACCCTCGCAGCCTCCGAAGATGTGGCCACGGAGGAGCTGCTTTGCTTTTCCACACGGATTCAATCCTTTCTGCATTCCCAGATCCGTGTTGTGTCTTCCACGGAGGTGCGTTATTGTCTAGCGAGAGGACGGGGAGTTAACTCGTGCTTCTTTTCCTCGCCATGATAAATATGTCTTATTAAAAAGTAGACTTCACTCCCCGAGCCCGAGCTGGGAATGAATTAAGCAACAGCAGCGCCTTTCTTATGAATAGCTTCGCTGAAAATATCTACGAGGCCAGAGGTGGGAATTTCTCCAAGGCCCTTCCTGTCTGGCATAGGTTTGTTAAACCCCCCCCCACCAAATCCCAACCAAACCGAGCCAAGAGGCTGAGCTAAAGCAGCTAAAAATAACAGCGACGATCGCTGGTTTGGTTTTTTTTGTTGGTTTGGGGGGATTTTTGGTGTGTGAGGTTGTTGTTTTTTTTTCATGTCCATAAAATAAATTTACAACCCCCTTCGCCCAAAAGCTCGCTCGTGGCTTCCACAGCTTTGCTTTTGTACCTCATCTCTCAGCGCCTCGCAAATGCCGCTCATTTATCTTCGCCGAGGACGGCGCGATCCTAATTATTTACTCCAAGGAATTGCTTTAGAAAAAAAAAAAAAAAAAAGCACATCTCAGGCAGAATAATAAATATTCGATTATCTCCTGGTGCGGTTAAAGCCGGGTGGGATCCGCGCTGCCGCTTTTCCTCACGCTCCAAGTTTCACTTTTTGCGAGCGGTAGCGTTTAACACAAACTCTTTGCCGGCAACTTCGGAGTGCGGGGGTTTGGAGGCATTAAAAAAAAAAAAAAAACCAAATCAAAAGACGAGAAAAGAGGAGAAAAAGAAGAAAAATCGAAGGGAAGGTGCGAGAGGGCTGCGGGGAGGAGGATGCTCAGGAGGAAAAATCCGGCGGTCGAAGGCAAAAGGAAAGAGGAGTCCGAGGCAGAGGTATTCTGGTGTTAACGCCATCCCCTCCATGTTGGAACCCCCAAATTCACAACCTGCCTGTGCTGAGGAGGAAGAGCAGCTCCTTTCCCCTCCCCCGCCCCCTCCCAAGGTACATTTCCCAGCGCCAGCGAAACCAGGCAGAGCCCCGCTTTTCATTTCAATTATTATTAATAATAAATATTCCAAACATGCCCTTAACAATAGGGCGGCTGCTCAGGAAGAGCTCAGACCCCAGCTCCTGCCTTGGCGCTGGATATGCCTGCAAAATAGAGACACATTCCTAAAATTTCCCTCTTCCCTCCCCCACAACCGAGCTTCACCCCAGCCAGAACTCCCCAGTTGTAAAGCGGGGGGGAAAGGGCCCTGGATGAGGGCTGCGAAGGAGCCTCTGCGTGGAAGGAAGCTTAAAGCTTGTGAACTCTTCTTGAACCGAGATTGGAGTCATATGGTCATAAATCATTGGGACATATACTCCGCCATTCACAAAGTGATAGCCTATTTGAGTCCGGCTTACCTTAGTCTCTGACGAGCAAAGCACAGGCAGACATAATATATTTTCACATCCAGCATCCACGCAATCAATAAGCAAGGAATGACCCCCTTCCTTTAAAAGCGTTAAAGGAATATACGAGCGAGAGAGGAACAAAATCCAGCATATGCATGTATATATGGACTAAAAAAAAAAGCCCAAACAGAGGGGGAGGGGGCTCAGCCAGTGGAGCTTTCGGTTACGGCAGCTCAAATTGTCTCTCTGTCTCCGTTTGGGAAGAGAAGGGAGGCGGGGGGGGGGAAATAAAAAAATCAAGATGCTTTCCAGCTTCCAAGATGTGCTGAGGGCTTTGAATGGCCAGACCCTGAGATTCGAGTTGCCCTATAGCTGGTACGCGCTGCTCACTGATAACAATGGCCTCTGCTTTCCACAGCAAAGGGGAAGAAGGGAAAGGAGAAGGGGAAAAAAAAAAAGAAAGAAAGAAAAGCTGAACACAACCACCCCCACCCCCACCCCCCCCTTTTAACTATGCAATGCTTGGCTGGGATTAAAATAATAACGCAAAGAATCCAGGCTACTGAAGGAGGGTGAAAGGGGGGATAAAGCCGGGGGGGGGGAGGCTGTTTTTAAACCCCGAGATTTGGTTTGGATTGCCGGGAAGAGCCAAGGAGCCTCCCGAACAGCGTCACTAGTGAAAAACGATGCTAATGGCAGCGGTGGTGACCGGCGGCCTGGGCGCGGGCGCGGACGTGGCCGCGGCTTCACGTGCTCCCCAGTTAGGCGTCGATTCATGCTAATAACATAGTCATAGCATGTCCCCCCCAAGCCCCCCACCCTGCTGCCCCCAACCCCCACCCCCCACCCCTCGGTGGCGTTTAGCCCCGAACCCCTTTTTCTGGGGATTGAGGGGGGGACACATGGACAGAAGCCGCCGGGCACGGTGATTGCAAGGGAGGGGGAGAAAAGGGGGAACCGCTCGTGTTGCTGCAACTCCGAGGCCCCGCGTAACTTTCTGCGTTAACTTTGAGCGTCCCAGCGTCTTGGGGGCTCCTCCCGGCTTCCGCCAGGGTGGAGGTGTGGGGTTTACGGGGGGGAAGGGGGGTGTCGGGGCTCAAACTACCCCCGGGGGAGGCCAGAGCAGCGAGGTGTTGAGCCATAAAGATGATTATTATTGCTATTATTAATAAGGCCGTTGCTGCCAGCGAGGCGCTGCCGCCACAGGAGATTTACGCCTTCCCCGTTCCCACGCGGCTGCGAGAGCAGAAACTCGCGTTTTGGGGAAAGCCCGTAATGAGGAGGAGCTGCGAGGGGGCGGAAGGCGGGGAGGAATGGAGGTGTCTGCACTTTCCTTTCTTGATTTTTGTTCTTTTCTTCTTTAAGTGCTACTTTTGTTCCCCATCGCAGTTCTCTCCCCTCCTTTAATTCTGGCGCTCGCTCCTTTAGCTTAAAGTGCTGACGGGGGGAATTTACAATTAGCAAAGCAGGAAAAAGTGGGATCACAAAAGGCTCCTCGGACCTCGCCGCGAAGGGACGGCCCGTCGGGGGCGGGGGGGGGGGAGGTGGTTTGGGGTTTTTCATATCTGTGTGTGCACCTTTAGGCTGAGAACTCCAGGAAGAAAAATAAGCGTGTCCCAGGAAACACTTGACTTTTGAGAGGACTTACTCGAGGGTTTCTAGGTGATGGATAAAGTCCTACTCCACGGACCGCGGTGTTTCCAGCTATTGTTCTGCTGGCAGGGAGCTTTCCACCGGCGGACACCATTATTTTTCCCCCTATTTAAACTTTTCATGAACTACTCCAACATAAATCTTCTCCTTCAAGCCAGTTCTTACTCTGGAGCCCCGGCGTTGACATTCCAGGGAAGGAAGGATGAAAACCAGTAGTGGACTATTCTTTTAAAGACTTCTCAGTAGGTAAAATACTCTCTAGGTTTCTGATCTGGAGCTCCACTGACTAACTGGGAGTGCCCAAGCAACCAGAAGTCCCTCGGATACCGCAGAGAACTCCTCTGAAGTGCAAAACCGTGCTTTAACTTTAACTAGCAGCCAAAAAAAAAAAAAAAAAAAAAAACCTTTTAGAAGGTCGTTGCACGTTTAGATGCTGAGCTCCTGCAAGCAGAGTTTTTAGGCTCCCTTTGGCATCTTTGCTTTGGTTGCAGCTTATTTTTCTTTAAGATGTAACTCCCTCGCCCTCATCCCGAAATCAGCAGCAAATGTTGCAATCTGCCTGGATTTCCCTTCAAAGGGAGTACAGGAAATATCTTCAATTTAAAACACTCCCTCAAAGTTACGCTCATAAATCACAAGTTTAAGGGCAAGCCAGTAGCAAAATGAAAATAGTCCGGTGAAATGCAGGGCAGCCCTGCTTATCCTGGGGATGGGGGAGAGGGACGGGACTGGATGGGACAGGAGGGGGATTCACTTTGGGTGCCCTCAGAGAAGGAATGAAGGGAGACACAGAGACACGCACAGGTAGGATATTGAGCCAAACTCACCGGTTGTGGAACGTCTGGTCCAGCAAAGCCGAGGCAGTGGCGGGCTTTGGGAAAGGAGGAGAGCTGGGAAGGGGGAAGGAGAAAAAACAAAGTATGAAACTTCGGTGAGAAACGAAGGGATTCATCACCCAGAGGAACCTTTGCGTGGAAAAGGGGAGAAGATGGGCTCTGGTGAACAAAAGCCCCAGCAGTTCCTCTGACATTATCACCCACCCCAGTCACCGGCATTTCCAGGACCCGATATCCTCATCCCGGCACCAGGGTTATTTCGGTAAATCCCTGCTCTCCCTCCGTCCTTCTTCCCCCCGTACAACCCCCCGAAGGAAACGCTTCTCCCTCTCTGGGGTTCGCGTGTGATGGAAGCGTTTGGTGTGGACCAGGGGCGGTTTGCTTACTGCTGGTGGTGAATTCCAGATGCTATTTCAAATATATATACATTGGGAAGGGTGTGGGTTAAATTCTGGTGGTATTTTCAGGGTTAAATGCGTTTAAGAGACTAAATATCTGCAGCTAAATAGCTCTGGGTTCGACATCAATATAACAGAGAAAATAGAGGTAGCAAAGCCTGAAAGATCCAGAATGTGGGTTTTGGTGTTTCTCCAGTATGGTGGAGGGATCACCACGAAGGGAGGGGGAAGGATGGAGATGCGCTGCAGTGTACGAGGCCACGGGGAAGTGATTCGGTATCAGAATTAACGGTTTGGAGACGTAAACATCTTGAAAGCCACGCCGAGATTTATCGCCACAACTTTGGCACGAAGGATTCGGGAAGGGGGAAAGAAAAGGAGAAAGACAAAACAATCTCATTTAACAAAATTTTCGTTTAGGGGAACATTCCAACGCTTTAATAATCCCGTTTCCGTTCTGTATGTTGATGTTATTAATCTCGAATAAAAATGTTCCCCTCACACCCCTATTCTGCTCGTGATAACATCCCCAAGTCCATAAATCCCCCGCTGATGCTTCGTGACCTTCTCTGCTCGGCGGCCTAAAGCTGGAGGTTTTATTACTGTTATTATTACATGGGCGCACAGTTTAATACACAGCTCTGGCAATATTCCACTTACGTCCCAGCCCTCCCCCGGCTTTTCAGGTCCCTCTGTAGAGCACACACAGAGGTTTGTAAAGAGGGGAAAAGGAAAAAGAAGGAAAGAAAAAGCTTTTTCTGCGCTGTGAACTCATCCTGTTTTCAGCAAGTTCCGGGCTGGAAGGAAGAGGAGAAGAGGGCAGGGAAGAGGTGGGAAAAAGAGAGAAAAACGCGTTTATTTGGAAGGGGATGTAGGAGGGAGGAGGCAAAAAGAGAAACAAATAAACAAGCCCGAAGAAGCTGGAATAAACAACGGCTCTAGCGCGGAGGGCGGAGGAGGGGGGGGGGGGGTGTTTCTTTGTTTTTCATATATTCCCTGGCAGCGCAAGCACAGAGGAGGGATGGAGGGAGGGTGTTCCCCCCCCCTTCCCCTCCCCCGTGTTCTTTGTTTTGATCTGGGGGCTTTTCTCTGTTCATTTTCTCTTGGAGGCGGCGCAAGTCCCGCCCGGCCCCTGCTGCGCACCCGCGGATGCTCCGCGGGGCCGCTCCTCCTCCCTCGGCTCTTTATTTAGTCTGAAGGGAAGGAGTTTGGGTTTTCCCGTTCCCCAGACACTGAGCCTGAGAGCGGGCAGAGCTCCGAGCAGGAGGCGAGAGCTATGGAGGGTGCAGGACCTCCTGAAACCTCGAACAGAAGCCAGCCCGGATAAGAAATCAAACTGAAACTGAGCGAGCGCTGGCTTTGCCTTGACAGATTAGACCTTTTTCTCCCCCTGACCTTTGCTTAGACGAGCAATAACTCACCAGGTTAATGATCAATCAGCGGAAGTGCTTTGGAATTGTCTCCAAAAAAGCAAAAACAAAACCCAAAACCAAATCAAGCCAGCGGCCCTTGAGGCTCCCCCCCCGCCCCGCAGCCCCCCGCTCCCATGGGTCCACTTCTCCTTGCTCCCACGGGGTGCGGTGGGGTTGAGGGGTACGGGAGGGCTCATGGGGACACCGGTTTGGGGGATCAGCGTGTTGCAAACAGCTCTTTGGGGAGCAGCACACCGGAGACGGGCTGGGAACTGGGAATCACCGTCCCCACTTTTCTTCTCTCTCTTCTCCCTCCTCCTTCCCAAATGCCAAAATAATGGCTTGAATTATGCGCCCACGTGACTGGGACACGTCAACCTTTTGCCTATTTTCCCCAGAATTGGGAAATTCCCGGCTTCCCCCTCCGCTCCCGCTAATTCCAGCATCAGCGAATTCCCTGGAGCTCCCGGTCAGGAGGTGCCCCCGCTCCCGGGGGCTGCCCGGCCCTTGGGGGGGCTCTGGGTGGCTTTTCCTTTGATTTTTCCTACCAGTTTTCCTTTCTGTCTTTTAACCTGGAGGCGAACAATCACTATAGGTGAGGAAAGAGACCGGCAGCACCCACCGCTCCCGCAGCCTCAGCATCCAACCCCACGGCAAAGACGACGGAAACGGAGGGGGAAAGTAACGGGTCTGGGGGAGCAGAAAAAACGGAGAAGGGCTTCTTAGCCTCCCCGAGGCCCCGAGGATGGGCTTCTCCCTCCACGGCGACTCCTCTGGTCCCTAAGATGAGGTTCCTCGGGGGCTCCCCGTTTCTTCCCATTTTAAACCCCACTCCGTTCCCGCGGGGGGGGCCCCCCCCCCCCCAATCACCAATATGTAAGAAAGAGAAGGAGAAAATGAGGATTTGGTGCTTTTCTGCCATTGCCCTTCCTTAGCCTCCCGCAGGACCAGGCACCATGCTCCCGTCGTGGCCATTTCTATGAGAAAAGGAAGGAATTCGGTTATTTTTTTGCAGGGATACTCGCCTCATTCCTGGCCTCGGCTGGCGCTGGAGAAGAAGCTGGGCATGGGGCAGAAGGGACCTGGGAGAAGGAATGAGCCCCATTGTGCCTGCTTCCTTCTGAGAATGCAGAAAGAATAACAAATTCTGAAGAGGAACTCTCCGGAGAGGGAGGAAGAAGTGGTGGCAAGGAATTCCATTTCTCTACTTTGGGATGTTCACGTGGAGTATTTATGGTCTGTAGGGAAGCGTGTGGATCCCACGGAATCCTGCATCCTCCCTGCACGCCGCATCTCCGCACCCCCCCCCCCCCGCCAAACACCGGCGCACCCCGAGGCGCTCCCCTCGCTACAACCCCTCGGGAGCTGCAGGGTGCTCCCAACGCCACCTCCTCACCCCCATCAAAGGGCTCCCACCCACCCCAGGTTAATTTTTAATGGGGCGGGAAAGTTTGGGGAACGGCAATGTTTAACGCAGGAGAGGGCACGGAGGTGAAAGCGGGGGTTTGAAATCCTCTTTCAGTCCGAGTTCTTACGGCTGCGAGAGCGGCGGGGCCGAGCTGGGACACACGTATTTGGGGCAGAAATATCCCCCCTCTGCACCCACCAAAGGGCTGGGCAGAGGGAATAAGCCTCCTAGGGGAGTATTTGGATTAATATCACAGAGAAACCAAACTACTCCTTGCTCTTTTCCCCCACATCTCGGTGATCCCGGATTCACTCACAAAGCAAATCTGAGACCCCCACCTTTTCTTCCCCCCCCCCCAAAAAAAAACCCCAAGAAGCTGGGAATAAGTCGCTTTTTAGGAAGGATGAGGGAAAAGAAAACTAGGAAGAAAAATACCCCCACCCCCCCATCCCCCTAAAATCCGCTGTCCCAAAAGAGCAGAAGTGGGAACAGCACAACCCTATAGATCTATACGGTTACATTTCAGAAAGTGTCCATTAATATCAATTTACTTCAATGAAAACTTTGCTTCTTCATGAAGTTGATGATTTATGATAAAATCAATTAAATTATGGCCACTCAGGGCCTGCGGTTTCTTCTCAGATTTCATTCGCCAACAGATCAAGCGGTTGGTAAAAACACCCAACTTTAGCTGGAGGCGAGTAAAGAGAAATCTGGAGCTGAGGAAATTTAATGCAAAGCAATTTTCAGGGTGGAAAAATAGGGCAAAAACAACAACAAAAAGGAAAAGAATAAAATAAAGAAGCTGCCTGTGTAGCTGAGCTCCTGCTCTGCCAATATCGCAGCTCGCCTCGGGAAATATCAGCCACTGAGTCAAAACTTTCCCAGTTCCCCAGTCTAAGAGAGTATTTTTAGACCTGGCAAATTGTCCCGAGGATGAAGTTATGATGTCGCTCTAAAGGGAGAGGAACCAAAGGAGAACAGAGCACGATTATGTATGTATTTAAAGCGGAAAAAAAACCCCAACTTCCCAGATTTAATCCCATTTCTCGTGTTTCGGGTTTTTTTTTTTTTTCCCTCCATACAAACGGTTCTCCTGTCTCGCTCTTAAAATACCCATCGGGCGTTCACGGGGCAGGATGGAGGGGGAGCAGCCAGAACCGAACAGCACAAACCCATAGTAAATAACGCATCCGATATTCCCACGCGTAATCTCACACACACCCCCGCCCATCCTCTTCGATCCCAGACACCGCATTTGAGCGGAATGACCCGTTTTGGAGGCCATTCGCTCCCTATCCCCAACCCAAGCAAACATCGAACCTCTTTAAACATAATATTTTCATGCTCGGACACCCCAGAAGCCACCGCTTTAATATTGAAGCCTCCTTCTTACCCATTGCGGTCAAACGCACGGCTCGGCTAAAAGGAACAGCAGCTCAATGAACCAGATGTTTGTTGGTCACATCTGGCCACTCCACCCAGACCTGGGGAGGGAAAACCCGCTATGGACATACACAGAGCTTGGGAAAGCTTCTTTTTGGGGTGGGGGGGGGAGGGCTTTCTTTTTTAGAAGCCCTTGTAATGAGGGTCTGCTTCAAGTAAACAAAAAACTTGGTAGGGCCATAAATCACCATCACAAACATTCTTCAGTTTAACACCCGCTTTTCCAATGGGCTTTTGTAGTTTCTTTTTCAAACAAGAGAGAGGTGCTAAACCTTTACCAAATGTATCCCAGACAAACTTCGCAAGGAATCACACCCTCGGACAGAAGCTTTTTGCGGCCGGTCCCCGTTATGGACCTTGCGAGGTCTTTTTTTGCTCATCCCCAGCTCTCCCGCTCCCGAAGCATCAGTCTTAATTTGTGAGCGGCAGAAAGTCAGCTACAGCTAGCGGAGAGGGGGAGAAGCCTGTCAAAGCTCTCGGAGCAATTCATTACATCTCAGAGCGCCGGAGAAGGGAGGAAAGGCAGAGCCGCATCATTCCTTTATTTATTTGTTTGGAACTCCTTACCTGTGAGACTGTCCGACCCAGGACTTCAAGAAGAAGGAGCGAAACCGGATCGGATGGGGCGAGTTCGCAACTGGAGCAGGCAAATTAAGGAGAAGCAACTACTTTATTGCACCCCGGAGGAAGGATCTTGCTGACGGCTTTCCCGGACGATTTGGAATTTTGTTTCCCTAAAGATGCTTTGATTTTTAAATTATTTCTCCTTTTTATTTTTTTTTTTTTTTACTCCCTCGATTCAAACGGAACTGACTTGACCTGGAGAAAAATAGAAACTCCTCCGAAACAGCTTTAAGGATTGCAAGGATGCGGCCCCCTTTGCAGAGAGATACCGAGCGAGCGGGGTGGGATGGGGGTGTCGGGAGGGGGGCGAGAACACGTTCCCTTTAGGAAAAAGAAAAGGAAAAGTGCCCCCCCCAAAACCTCCCCCACTCCTGACTCCTTCGTATCTCTCTGGAAAGCTGTTTCTCTTTATAAAGACTTAAAATGTTGCAAGACGGTTGTAATACTGAGTGACAAGGGGTGCTGGAGAGAAGGGAACCAAATGGATTCTGGTTTTTAGAGCCAGTAGGAATTGGCCAGCCTTCAGTGTCAGGATTCAAAATTGATTCCATATGTCTCGGCCGGGGAAAGGGGAAAAAACGAAGGATAGAAAGAAGGAAAGGGAGGGAAAGAAAGGGGGGTGTGTGGAATAGAAGCTGTGCAAAGCCCATCGGGTTTAATACTTTTTCTCACTCCCACCCTTCCCAGCAATACCCTGCCATTAAATCTTGCCCTTTTCCACGGAATAGTTTGCACTTTCGTGTTTGAAGCGCAGGGAGTGTTGAGGTACCAGTAGCAACAAACCAGATCCTGGGGGTTATTTTTAGACTTGGCTTTTCTGCAGCTGACCTCAGCGCGAGGAGAGGAAATCTGGATCTGCGTGCTGGCGAAAGCGCGCAGCGTGTCACAGCTCCCCAGAACCGGAGGGAACGGGAAGATGCAAACCGTCCCCTCCTAAAAACCACCACCACCAGCATCATCATCACCCCACGGCGCCCAGCACCAGGGCAGGTGGTGGGTTCATAGAGTCCTGGTCAGGGTGGTGGGAAAGGGGTTCAGGGAGGGGGGAGCCGGTTCCTCTCCCAGTCCCCCCTGAGCACAGGGGCTGCGGTTTGCGGCTCCCCATTGACTTCACCGGGACATGCTCGGAAAGAATTTGACCCGAAGTTTTTCAGGCTTCTCTCCTGACCTCTCAATACCGCTGCCAATAAAGCATCGATGCATTTCGCACGGAGTCGGACATCAAAAGGAGACGAAATAGCAAAGAGTGGGGATTTCTCCTTAACCCCTCCCCTTGTATCTACGCTAAAGTAAGGAGTCAAATCTCCACCATCGCCTCTGATTTATAGCCTCCCTTTTCAGCTGGGATGGTTACGGACAGAAAAGTGTTGAAATGCGGTGGTCGCCTTTTATTTCTTTCTCCTCCTCCCTCTTCCCCACTAAAAATAAAAAAAAAAAAGAGATAAAACCTCAAAGAAAACAGTCCCCGTTTCCAGACTTTTGCTTATTTAATTGAAAAGCAACTGAGCTTTTGTCCTGGCTGCTCATGACTCGGGCTCGTTTCCTTATGAAATAGGAAAACGAAGCACAATAGGCTCCAGGTCCCCGGGTCTCGGCGACGGTTTCGGGGTGATACCGGGGGACAGGGGCGGGCTGAAGCTCCTTCCCAGGGGGAAACACACCCACGAAAACAAAAGGATGGGGTAGAGCTGCTGCCAGGCCCTGCCCCTACGCCCGCTCCGCACCTCAGCCCGGGGTTTCCGCGTTATCCCCTTTATTGCTCCCCTTTCCGGCCTTGCAGCTCTCGCCCTCCGCAATGTTTTGATCTGAAATAACTCTCTCCTCCCGCCTGCAATAAATTATGAATTAAGGTGCTGTTGACTCATATTTACAACGTTAATAGCTTCCTCTTTGGGAAAAGATAGGGGATGTCTGGCCGAAACGGGAAGGGAGGGATATCTCTTTGGGGATGAGATGTGCTAAACACGGATTCGTAGCGCCTATAGACCAGAGACTTCTGACGAGATGTCAGGCAAGGAGAAAGGCTTATTGCACACAAACTAATGAAATCGAAGCTGCTTGAGTGACTTGGAGTAGCTTATTGCCTCCTCCCGACTCTTGGACGTTGTTTCTGCCATTTGTAACTCTAAGGTACAATAGCTGGTTTCTCGAAAAGAGCCCCCCAGACCTCGGTTTCAAAGAGTTAATAAAGAAACACGACTTAAACACGGTAAGGAGCTATTCGCTCATTATTTGTAGTGAGGCTGGGAGAGCAGCGGCGGCGGGGGACGCGCAGATGCGCAAAGGATGCTCTGGGCAAGGGCTTCTGCTCCGGAATCTCCCTAGCAGCTCTGGCCAAAACCAAGCCACTTCC